AAACATCTTTCAGAGAAAGGTGGCAGGTTTCCTATAGCAAGCCTTCCGTATAAACATGTGGTAGCTGAGATAAATTATCTATGTTCGCTGGTCACAGCAACTAAAAATGATGCCTCCCATTCTGCCACCAGTTACCTTTTGAAGCCAAAAATCAGTATTTGTGCATAAAATTAGTATTAAATGCAGAGGAGCGCTAGTTCACTTTGGCTTAGCGCCCCGTGCTCAGCTTTGCCCTGGTGAGATAGAGAGTGGACTGAGGTTTTCTTTTCCTGTGTGTATACTAAGGCCACAGGCACTGAAACGGCATAACACACAGAAAACGTTATGAAGAAAGGGGGTCACACAGCGTCATGTTCCCTCGCGAGCTGAAAAAAGACGTGTATTTTGAGATACGACCGTGACCTCAGAGGCCCAGATTTAATCCTGCAATCACCGTGCGGTTTCTTTCTTTCTTTCTTTCGAGAGAAAAATTCCACAAGTTTTGCTAATCTAACGTTTCTTCATTTGGCAAAGCACAGGGAAACAAAAAAAAATAACCTTAAAGGCTCAAAACAGAGAAATTAAATTGCCGCCGGTATAGCGGCAGCACCCAAGGAACACATTTTCCTCCGGAAAGGATTAAACGACCCAGCCGTTGGCGAGCAAAGAGCTAATCCACTCGCTTTCTGAAAGCGTCCGACTTTGATTTTTTGGCGGTCCTGCTACCTACTCGGAGGCTACCGTGAGGCAAACCTGCTCCGCTCAAACCCTGCCCCGCTGCCACTCGCCGCCCGCACGTGCCTAAATTAGTTCTCCATTTTGCGGCGGCCCTGGGAGAGCAATTCCCATTGAGAGGGGAACAAAGGCCGTGACCCGGGGATCAGGCGTAATGCCGGGAGCGCGACCTCCCCTTTGTGCCCAACAGCACTGTTTACTCTGCCTAAGTAAAGATCACCAATACATTAACTAAAGAGGATTAAAAAGGTCATATCCCTAGGGATGGAGCTCGCGCAAGTGGCAACTCTCTCCAGTCACTAAATCATTCGACCTTCCCCCCCCCCCCCCACACAAACACCCCCTAACGCCCCTCTTCACTTATTTCTCAAGCAAAAAACGCATGCAAAATTTATGTGCGGCCTTCCTTCCAGAAACGGGTTAATTGCTGCACAAGCAGCGGGCTGTTTGGAAGTTATTTTTCAAGCTACCGAAATATTTTAAACGCAAGCTATCACCTCACTACAGTCTTCCTACATTTCCTCCTGAAAAGTTCTGAGTCGATTTACCAAATTGTTTGGGTCATAAAAGGGTTAGTGAAAAGGGCCGTCTTTTGTAGCTGTTATAAATTGGAGTCTTAAAAAACCCTGCAGTATGTCAATGTGCAGAAGTAGCACTTGCTAGTGCAGAACACAACTGCTAAATCTAGAATATTTCACTTGTAAAAAAGAAACAAAGGCAAATAAAGGAAAAATATGCTCTCTGTCAGAAGTCACGCTGCTAGCTAGGCGTCAATCAGGCAAAATAAGCACCTACTTGTGAGGTTAAGCTTTCTGTTACCTACTTATTTATAACATCTGAGAACGGCATTATTAACAGCAGAACTGTCTCATGAAACAGCTAAGCTAACACTGCATTGGTAACATATGGGAGGCAACACGGACAATTAGCTGGCACGCGGCACTGTCGCCTTTCCAGCCTCGCCCCCAACCCACTGGCCTGCCGGGTGATCCCAGCTCGTGCTCCCTGCTCTCTTCTGCTAGGCCACCGTCCTCTAGCAGCAGGCAGAGGCAGTAAGGAAGACCCTTTGCACTGGACCTCAGGACACGTGAGAAGCAATTTCTCCCCTTAGCAAGCTTCTTCGGAGCAGAACAGATGCATTTCAAATTCATGTCGAAACAGATCAATGATGAAATCAAGGATCTAATAAAAACAGCATTACGCTCACTTTATTCTGTTTTCCCTTTGTGGAAAGAATCGCTTCCCTTCTTTACCCATCACTGCTGTTCCTCGCTCCTGTTTTTGATCTTTCCTTTCCCTAGCAGGAAGAGAGGGAAACTTACTGCCGTCAAGAAAACCGAATGGAAAAACCCGTCCCGGTATACATGTCCCATTGAGAAGCATGGGGTTTAGCCCAGGCGACTCACAACAACCTCCGAGGAGGCCAAGTTAAAACAAAGAAACTTCCAAAGCTTGAGTTTGTGCCATGATGGGCAGTATTCCCACCACGGGCGGGTGACAGACTGGCACTCGGTACAACTCACTTCTACGTTTTCCCATCTCTCCACTTCTGTGCCTGGAACGACTGAATCCGATCATACCGTTCGTTTCCAGTGATTGCTGCTCCCCTGAATCTAATATGAAAGTATCGGGCTTTTTATTAGATCAGGAGTCAAAGAAAGAGCAGTGGATTCAGAAAGTCTTGACAGACAACAGGCTTTGAAGTCAATGTCCAGAGCAAAACAAGCACCTAAGGGAAAAACCAAAAATATATAGCAGGTATTTAAAATAAGCCACTTGGAATCACAGTACCACTTTGTCATACTGAATGTTTATTCAATCTCCCCTTTTTCCTCTGCTTCTATGTATAGACGATTATGCAGTCATATATCAGTCAGAAATAAAGGGTGACAGAATCTCAAATACAGAAGAAGCAGGTGGGCAAGGACAAACTATATACAGAAAAAAAGCTTTATAATAGGTTGAGGCAAACAGGAATCTCTTCCAAAAACCAAAAGCACTGAATCGAAACCACTAGTACAAAAATATTACTTTCAAAGTATATGCTTCTAGTCTCATCTTAAGAGTAAGGACTGAACCAATTTATTGACATATATTGGAAGCAAGAAGACCGCACAACAATTGTCTGGTAAATCTAAAAGAGTACTGGGAAATAAAGGGAGTGAATAAAGAGGAGGAAAAACACTGCAGAAAAGATAATGGTTAATTATGACCTTGAGATATTCAGTCATGCAAAGTAGTAAACTCATCCTTTCTCACCCTGTACAGATGACCATGATAGCCCTTCTTGTTAGCTGGGTTCCTGATCTGGGAGATAGAGACATACATACATACATACACACACACACATGTACACACATATCTACATATATTCATAAAGAGATACATACATATATAGATATATAAAGTCCTCCCAACAGAAACTCTATTCCTCCTAGACTATTCCTCCTAGCCTTTCATTTTCTTGTTCTCTTTAACCTTAACAGCAGTCAGCAGAACTATCTAGATCCAAGATGGGAACTAAAACCACACTCTAAGGAGCAACGAAATAAGATGTTCCTTCTCTACAAGGAAACAGTAGAAGGAAGCATGACTTTGTGACAAACAACTCTTGTACAGGCCATTTGGGGAGAGGAGCAATAATGACCCCGACCTCTTATTCCTGGCTGAACTTCTGTATCTCCTGGTGTCCAGAAATCAGGACACACCCAGAGACAGCTTTTAGCTTAAAAGAAGTTATTAGGTTTAATACAAGGTGGAAACAGTTCAAAAATCTGGGATATGCAAGTGATCAAACTGTACCTGTCCGTTCCCACTAGACTTCAAATCCTATTAATCTACTCTTTCGCAAGTAAAGGATGAGAAAGCAGCGCACACCAAACCAGAAAGCGCTGAAATAGCCGAGGAAGTTAAAAAGCAAGCCGTTCAGAGCACTAGATACACATGCAAGAGCTCTGACGAAGCTCATAGTTGACAAAGCCACGGTTTCCAACAAAAACATACACCCTCTCCTATCAGGAACGAAAGGGTAGCGCTCCTTAAAAATTGCTACAAATGATCCAGATTACATGCCAGTGAATTTTAGCATTTAGCAAACTGGCTGGAAGGCTACTTAAAAAGCATTATAACTTCAATGCCTAAGCAAAGATTACATAATGGAGAGAAAAACAGCATTGCTAACATAATGAAAAATATGTCTTTTTTAACTTGGAATGCATCCGCAGAAGAAATTATTATTTATTTGGCCTTTCAAAAGTACTTTGATAATGTGACTCATAAAGGCCATAAAGAAAACAAAATAATCATGACTGAGTGTTAAAGTCATGATTAAAAATTAGCTAAGCAGCCAAGAGTAAAACGTAGGAATAAAGAGACAATTTCAGTGGAAAAAGGTTAGCAGTAGTTGCCTGTAGAATGCATGCTTGCATCAACTTTCAACATTAATTAGTGGACTGGAAAAACAGCTGTATAACGAGGCAGCAAAACTAACAAAACGATTGATATGTGTTTGGGTGACTGAAGGGGTTTAACAAAGTTGGGTGTACATGAATTGTTATGATAAATAACTTTCAGTTTTGACAATTGCTAAGTCAGTCACACTGCAAGGTTCTCGGGCAGAGGGAAAAGACCTAGATGCCATCCATCATAGGAAGTCACTGAAAGCTTTCTCGTATATACAGCAATGTCAAAAAAGACAAATTTTATGATGCATTCAAAAAAGCACAGAATCCAATACTGAAAACATTACCCTTCTGGCATACACCTGCCAGGGAAATACCTTCAAGGAGAATGCTGCCCACAGGTCTTTCCCCTCACCTCATTCAACTCCAGAAGTAACAGGAATGCAAACTCAGAGGACTGCAGCGATTTGATTCACAGAAAGACTCCCGTATAAGAACATATAAAGTGATTAAACTATGTTAGCAAGCACATGAGCAACAGGGAACACAACAGAGATACATACTTTAAAAGTCAGAATTGTAGTCATCTTCACCTACTTCCAGTCTCAAACAGGACACCATTCAGTCAAAATAAATGAGCAGTTAAGTTAAAACCGCGGGAATATTAATATATATTATTTTATAAAGGGCGGGCTCAGCATGTGAAAATCAGTGACACAGTGCATCACTAAGGGACCTCAATGGGATTCAGGAAGAATACAGAGCTATATACAGCCTACAAGAATATTACAGCATTAAATAGGATTGTTTGCTGGAAAGACTGGAAAGACCCTTGCAGGAAGCCACGATTAAACCGTTGGCCAAGGGATCTAGTTGGCCCCACTTCCAGAAAGGACAGGATATTCCAAAAGGATCAAGCGTTGGTCCTCTTAGTCCTATATTCTCTTACCAATCGACTGTTTGCAAAAACTGTCAAGGAAACAGCATTTATTAGGCTGTGGATCTGATCCACTGCAGTAATTTCTATATTCAAAGGCTTCCTGTGGCCAAAAGCAATTGCAAAAAAACAGAGAAGTTCACGTCAGCAAAAGTGAAATACATAATCATCTAAGTTACAGTACCTGATACAACGCTATCAATGCATCACTCTAACTTAACAAAAACTTAAAAATGTATGTTGACTTTGCCACCTGCTATTCCCCCTCCCCATAAATAATTAGGAGGAACCTAAATTAATATAAGATACTATTTTACAAAACAAAGGCATTCCCTCCTTTATTTTATTATCTTTTTTCCCCACCCACACCTCATTATTTGCAAAAACCATTTAATAATTACAAGAGATCCCAAGATGTGTGTCAGATGCTGGGATATTGCCACTTGTATGGTGGTTTGCTACACTTAGCCTTCAGTCTTGTGGCGAACAATTCACCCAAACTGTGATAATACCTCACCCACAACCCACACACTGCTGCTCTTCAAAGGAAAATAAGGCTACATAATTAAGAGATGATGAGCTAAAATATAAGCCAGGAGATGAGGGAACAGATTCTGTAACCACCCCTGTGAGTGGTTATATTACTGAAGGAGTTTATTCAGCTCCACTTTCACTCATTATATTGGTAAAATGGTCACACATTCAAGATCCTTAAACAACATTTGCAGCAGCAGAGGAAAAAGGGGTCATAAAACCTTGCCGCTGCAGAAAATTTGCTTTAAAATCTATTACACAGAATTAGGAATGTAAATAAGCCTTATTAGCAAATAACCATTGTAACTAATGTGGGTTGCATCTTAAAATATGTGGTTTTACTGGAAACATTCTTAAAGTCTCATCCCTAAAGAATTTTTACTTGAGATATTCTTAAATTCTCATCCCAAGCTTTTGTGATTCCTGTAACTGCATTCATAATGCAAGGAACTACAGGGGGAAATATCTAGTGTGTATATGTGCCAATTCAGGGGCTAATACTGCAGCGTTCTGCATGGAAATCAACATTAAGGAGGCGGTACAGATAAGTTTTAGAGTCTTGATGGATATTTGCAATAAACAAAGCGTCAAACCACTTTCCTTACTACTTTAAAAAAGCTGAAACTAATCTTTGTGGGTTTTGTCATGATTCATGACGGAGTTGAGCAATTTGAGGCAAAACAAAGACGCATAAAAAGCCGCCAGTCTTAAAGTGAGAACAAGTGACCATCCGTCATCTGCATTAAGAAAGTAATAGGATTATACGCCCACTTGACTTCTGATAAAAATATTTCTGTTTTACCTAAAAGAAGTCTTCATTTTGTAAAGATCAAGGACCGCATCTCCCAAAGCTGAGCCTCCAGCAGCCCCGTCTGCGTGGCCAGACTCTCCAGGCAGCATCCACACCCTCCTCTTCCTCATTTTTTTCCACTGACCATGAAATACTTTCTAAGCCAGGCACTGAAAAAATACATTTTTAATGGACACCAGATACCGTATTACTGATTTAATTACACAGATTAAAAACAAATGAATATATTTGTATACATACATTTCTGTTTTCTGTTTCATTTCAAACAAATTTGGTGGGCCTGATTTGGCACTCTATTCAAATCACAGGAAACATCATTAAAAGGTGTTCTGTGTTGACAGAAGAATCAAGCCCAATTCTTTTATAGGATTTATTATAACGTCAACTCCATCGGTACTGGAAAAAAAATACAAATCAGAGGCTTTTCAGAATAGCTTCTGTCAAGCCTATGTATTTTATAATAGCAATGGATACCAACACAGACAGCTTAGAAAGGTGTTCCAGAGGTTCCCTCCTACATCAGTGGGGTTCTGTGGATTTAAAATTGAGCTGATCTGTTTAACTCGGGCTTTAGAAAAGAAAGTAATATCTGAGCAAATCTTCTCCAGCTTACCTATCACTCAGAACCTCACCCAGACTACCAAACGATTTGGTTCACTGTATATTTATCACTGTCAGAATGAAACTGCATAGCGTGTATCACTCAACATATACTTAATATTATGATATTTCATGCCATTTATTTTATCAGTAATTGGGCAATACACAGAACATTATAAAAATGGATCGTTGCTATAGTTTTGCATATTGTATCATCCAGAGGCTTTAATGCATTATCTACATGATATTGTAATTATACTACATTTCATATTATATTTATCCCGATAATATTTAATATGAATACACAGTGATAAAACCAGCATTTCCCAGCGCTTCTAGAAAAACACTCATTTTCAAATAACCACTTCCAGCATTCAAAACAAACCAAAAATACAGTATTTAGGGTTAAGCAGCATAATCTTAATTTTTGTAAACAACTGCACAAATAAAGATAATAGTGTTCAACTACCATTAGGACTGCAGCATTAAAATAAACGGCTTGTTTATTCAAATTCAGAACTACATATGTAACCACAATCCACAGCTTCATGCCATTTTAATTTGTTTGCTGAAAGAGCAAACTGATAGTAAAATAAAAATGTTAAAGTTATATTAGGACGCATGTTAGGTGATGACAACGCATATTATAGAGCATATAAAATAATGCCAAATCTTATTCATGTATGTTTCCATAAACAGAGAAAAATATTCTTATATGCACTTTCACTACTAGTAGAGATGTCCAGTTTTATATAGTCCCGAATCCTAATTGGTTACCAACATACAAATTTGAAATCTTGAAGCCTGCAAAATGCAAGCTTAGATAAAGTATGCTTGCTGCATGCCACGCATACAGTAAAATACAATTAACTTGCAGAATAGTATCAATACTATAGTGCTTGTGTAAATGTTTAGTCACGTAAAAAAAGTCATTTTTCCCTGAACTGCAGCATATTAGGTGATGCATGTGCCTCTCACCATTCTGAAATGCTCTGATGTATAACCGAGACTTTAAAAACCAAATCCAAAAACCTAGTGGGAAAAATGTTAGCATGTTAGTATTTTACTAGTCTATAATATTCACCCCACAAAGCTTTCCCATCCACATGCTCTATGCCAGAATAGCACACTTACTCCAGGCTCTTTGCATTCCTATTTACGCTGATGTTCTGCAAGAAAGGGAGCGAACAGAAATCCAAGGGTTAATTAAAAAAAAAAAAAAAGGAAGGAAAAAAAAGCAGGTTAACAGCCTGACAAGAAGTGAACAGAGAACTGAGTGTCTCGGTATCACCTGGACACCAGTTTGGGATTTAGGCAGCCTTGGATTACAAGGACTGTTCCCCTAAAAATCCAGCCCACGGTTCCCGTACTGTTTTCTACCACTACCACATCCAAACTGTGACTAAACACCTCATTATGCTTCTCTGGCACTATCCGAAGCAAACGTATTGTACAATTTTATATGGCACCTACAAGCAAAGGAAAAAAAAGAGGTTACTTTCTCTATGGCACAGTAGTGAAATGGCAAACGGCGAGCTGGGTGAAAAAGCTTGCCCGGTCGGTATGGCTTTCCCCTCCACGTCCCCCTTCCCGTGCTACAGGCAACAGGTGACTGACCACATACAGCCCCCAGCCTCCAGCTTTACAAATAAGAAAACTTACCTAGCGTACAAGACATCTACCCCACAGTCTTCTGAGACTTTTGCTTGCAACTTAAACAGGTTTAACTGGGCCCTACGTTGGTTTCAGAAAGTAAAAGCAGCCTTTGTTAAGGCTCGTTTATAGATCGCAGAGGTTTCATTTAAAGAAAATACAGCTCTCCCCGCAGCAAAGAATAACCAGTGGCTACAGCTAACAATCCAGGGTTCAGAGAGCTTAAAAGAAAACAAACAAACAAACAAAAACTGATAAAGCATTTTCAAAGCGACTCTCTGCCTCAAATACTTCACTACAATCTCTTTTCCAAGAACTTGCTATGGGATCTTAAATACGTAGCTGAATTATAAGGCAATATGCTTTGATTTCCTTAATTCTTACTCCAAATAAACATTTATATTCTGACTTACAGCTATTTTAAAAACAACTTCTTTGCTCTTCACGACACTTAATATAATTTTCAAGAAGTAAGAATACCACATGTAAGGGTCCTGCTATTTTCTTCTTTAAACTTCACCACTTGAAAAGCATTTTTTTCCATCTATTAACGTTTAGAAATATTCTTCCTTTGTGAACTGGACATACGAAGACCGTTAACGATGCCACAGCAGCAGCAAGATTTCTTCACCAGTCTCCACGTTACTCATTAAATAATTTCACTCCTGTACACACATAAGCAGCTGGTCAAGTGCAAGAAGTGACTTTGCTGCATTCAGCTCTGTCCTGAACACTGAAACAGAAATCCTTTAAAGAGCCATTACAGTACAGAAATTATCACTTTCCATCGCTGCATCGTTTCTTGAATCTTACACTGCTCGCTCTCGCTACGCTTCTAAAGCGCTAAACACGCTGCGTTTCAACACCTGAATCCCTTTTAGGAAAAATCCCATTCGCTCCTCGTGAACTGGGGAGGGCAGGCTACTTCCTGAAAACGCTACGCTTTTGCTAAAAACCTATTTCTCAAACCTCGGTGTAAAATAACCTTCCTTTCCTTACAGACACTACTTCAGGAAATATTTACACGCTTCAAAATAGTTTTAGAATTTGAAAGCTTTGCATTTCTTTCCCTTTGGAAAACACAGCTTGGCAGCGCTCTCTGCACCGCCGCGTACCCAGTACAGCAGATGGTTAAAATTCTGCATCATTTTTAATAGCCTTAAGAGAAAGCACTGCCTTTTCTCGGGGGGGGGGGAAGGGGGGGGGAGAAGAGAGAAGAGAAAAAAGCTGAGAACAGCAATTTACAGACCTTTTTTTTTTCCTTGACAGCAGCTAGCCACGCCTCAGTCTGGCCCTTCCTCCAACCTCTGCTAACCTAAAAACCAGCGCCAACCTGGCAGCAGGCCACGCATTCAAAAGTAAACATTATTCTCCTGCCATTTTTCAGTGTTGTTTATCATATCCTGATCTTCCTGCCCTTTTTTCTCACTGTAGCCTAAATCACCGTCTTTGCCCCGCTTTGTTTCACTTTGAAACTGCATCAAGACATCAAAGTCACGCTCTTATCTAACATGGCAAACTTGCAAAAAACGCGTTATAGGGATCTTTACCTTTGTACGATAAAACAGCAGACTGTTTTGGAGCAGAGGGGGGGAAAAAAAAAAGCAGACATATCTTTAAACATTGTTACCCCACAGAACTGGATGGTACTGCCTACCCATCACTGCAGAAACAGCACTTGATACGCTACCTTCATTTCTCTCACTGCCTGCAGCTGCAATTAGAAATCTGACTTTTGCTAGTAAACCTTTTCTATTTTCATATTTAATCACAACAGGAATGTTAAAAAAACAGACCAAAACAGACTGCACGCTAACGCCTGTGAGCGTACAGCGCTGCACCTGACTCTTTGTTATCCTTTCGGCATCCCCTGCTCCCGCTGGTCCTGACGTCCTCCTCCCACCTTTTAACGCTCCTCATTTATCAAGGCTCTCAAAAACCAACCTGACAAAACTAGCTGCCTATTACTATTATTTTTTTCTAACCTAGCAGTCATAAGTTGTATAAAATGGATAGTTCACATACCGGAAGGGAAAAAAACAAACGGGCTACTGCAGGTTTTTTTTAGTCCTAGGAGCATCACCTTTATTTTCCCACCAGCGCGGATGCGCAGCGATAAAGCCTCGCCGGCCCTGGAGAGCGGCTCCTTGCCAGCAAGGGCTAGGAGCGGAGACTAACCATCGGCCATGTTGTCACCGCTCCTCCTGCCCTGGCTTAGCGGGCGAGGCGCTGGCAGCGTGCCAAGCCTCCTGTCGCAAGGCTGGTGTCAGGCGAGGGCAAACTTTAGTGGTCTGGCTTATTTTTATTTTGAATTTTCTATTCCTCCCCGAGCAAGTCCCACCCAGCCCCAGCAGCCCCCAGGGAGGCTGCAGCTGAGGAGGATCTGCCCAGAGGCAGGTAGCTGGGTTTCAGGCATATCTCCCCCCTCCTTCTCCCCCCCCCCCCAATCCTTTCTCTCGCAAGGCACTGTAAACTGCACATAACACGGAGCGGGTTTAGTCAAAACAGCCATGTGCAAGTAGCCTGGCAGACAAAAGCCTTTATTTATTTATTTAGTTTGCGCATAGATAAGGAGGAGTCTTTGTGCACATAAATTTCGCACGCCCGGGGAAGGAGATGCCATGCTGCTTTCCGCCGGGCTGACACAGCTCGGCTCCAAACGCCACGGGACAGCCTGCAGGCTCATTAATAATTGCGACCGGCTTGCCATTTCCATATTTAAATTGTGAAGCAGCCTATGATTAATTAAGAAGAAAAAGGCAAAAAAAAAAAAAAAAAAAAAAAAGGGAAAGGGAAAGGCCTGCGCTTTCTGCCCAGTGTGACTTGCCAGAGCGCCTGCCTGCCTTAACTCCTTGTTCCCCGAACGCCCAAACCGAGCGTGCAGGATCCCTCCCGCTGGGTGCTTGCTGGGAACTCGGAGGGAATATTAATTATGCTATTTCTGTGGAGTTAGGCAACCACGTGAGCTCTTTTGCAAGGCTCTGAATAGCCACAAACTAATGAAGAGAATTTACTGCAATCCACTCATCATTAGCTTTTCATTTGGAAAAAAAACTTGCTTATAAATTTTAGCATGATTGTAAATTAATGTATTTTCCGGCAGTGAGGTTAAAAGAATATTTACGAAGTTATTTATACAAAGAAATATTGCAATTAAAATCCAATAAAAAGTGTAATTTAAACTCATCTGAGTGCTCCAAACTATGAAAATATTTCATATTGAAATACTGTGATTAACTTGCACACAGAATCTCAGATTCGCAAACATAAATGAAGGCATGTAATAAATACGCTGTATACAGTAATCAAAATATTTAACAGCAATTTACCAGCACGTTTAAACTTCAGATTATTCTGTTTCTTCCAAGTACTTTCAGACCTAACTGTAACAGATGCTGGAGGTTTTTTTTTGTCTCTAAGGCAAAGGCTGTGTTTCTCAGCACCACTTAGTTCCTGAAATTCTCAGTAAATACTAGTTAGGCTGCGGAAATTCAAGACGTGAAAACCTCTGTACAGTAGCCAGCCCCCTGGAGAGTCAGGAAGGGCATGTGAGCTCTGCAGGTCATGAGCTGCTGCTCTGCTCCCGAGGGTCCCTCGTGCACATACAGCGCCGGGGCCTCTGCTTCGAGCATCGGCCCCGGGGCGGCCGCTGAAGGGACGGACGTGCCCAGTGCGGAGCCCGGGGGGCGGCGCGGGGGCTCCGCAGAGGGCGAGGGAGCGGAGCGCGCGGCTGGTGGGCCGGCAACCTGCCCCCCCCGAAAAAAAAAAAAGTCTCTTCTCCTCTCTGCCTGTTCTGGAGAGGCTGTTGCTACCCACATTCGTTCTCCTGCCATCTGCATCCCAAGCGCACGTTTTTAACCCTTTTATTTTTGCAACCTCTGCCTTGTTTTAAATCTACGTAATGCAGAATTTCATCTGCATCTGCTTGGTTATTCATCCTTATTTAATCTTCAGTTTCCTTGATTAATAGTGTTATACAGTAAAAGCAAAAGCTTATAAATTTTTCTGCAGAAGAGCACTTTGGCTGGGAACGTTCAAAACAGATGGACCACGCACTAAACAAAAGCTCTCCTTTTGTTTGTTTGTTTTTTGGTCAAACCAAGAACATGTCAATTTGACTTAACTTATTCAAAAACTTTTTTGCAGCGTGTGAACTCTGCGTATCACTTGCCAGGCACCTCCAGCAACCTGAGTTCATCCGGGTGGCATTTAGGCCAATTATGCTCATTTCCTTCGGGTGGTCAACTCCTAACCTGGAAGCAAGTTTGTCCCAAAGACCTATAATCCCATCAGTATTGTTTAGCATATTAATCAATGTTCTGAGTAAGGAGAGAAAGGAGAAGCAGCAAAATGTAATAATATCATTTAAAGGACCCTAGTACCGATCACTAGATGCTTGGTATTAGAAAGAAATTTCTCCCATCTACATGTTAACGTATGCCCATCTACCAGAGTCCTTCAGCTTAAAGCATTTGGTGACTGCTCCAATGACAGAGATCAGGGCAGAACTGCAAAAAAAACCAAACCAAAACAAAAAAAAAAACCCAAAATACACACACCTCCACAAACCCCACAACTACTGGTCTGATCAGAGATGACAGGTTTTTGTGTTTTCCTCCCTATTATTAATGTTATAGAAAAGTTTTTACTGGATCTGCTTATCCTTGTTTTATAGGAAGCCACAGTGGGCAAACTGCCAAAGCCATTGCATGACTACCACCATCAAGAAAATTTTCATTGCCTTACTATACCAGAAATTACTATATTCTGATGCGCAACATGAAGAGCAACTTGTTTATACCCAAGTGTTTTGCATTGGTAGTTGGCATCTAAAAGTAAATTAAAAAAAAAGAAGCATACTGAACAAATCCTAATCCACAAAGACTTATGAAGGCAGGCACACGCTATGTAGATATGTATCTGTTTTCAGCGGCCACAGAATTCTTAGAGGATATAATCTTGCAACTATAAGAAATGTTAATAGACATGGCTAAAAATGAATAAAAAGCTTGCTGTTTTCTCTTAAGAAGTTTGCTAAGTGTAGTCACAAGAACAAATACCAAACATTGTGCTAAAACAAGCAAAAGTAGCATACATCAAAATGTACTTTGTTACCGTTGTTAATGCATGTTTGTCGCATATTCTGTCACTCCTTTATTGTGCTGATGCTTTTTTGTTTAAAGCAGCATGACACCCTCAAGGAGCTGACCCTAACCAAACAGCCAAACACATATGGATGAAACACATCAGTAAGACTAATTTCAAGTTTCTAAAATAATTTCTAGAACTTATGAAAATAGGGTTTTAAATAATTAAAGGTATACTGAGGGTGTTACAACTGAAAAAGTCAACCACTGAAGATTTTACTGTATTTTCTCTTATTTTGTACATGCACGTTCAAATAATTTCAGACTTCCCCGTATTATCAAGCTTATGTTTATTGGCTACTGATGACAAACTCAATATGCTTATTTTAAATGACCTCTCTATGCGTGGTAGCTCAAAGGACTACAAGGGAGCTGTGCAGTTGTATCTTATTGAATTTTATTGGAAAGAATACTCCTTTAAAAACCTTCACTACGTTATTAAATGACCCAAAAATATTATAGGTGGGGCTGGTACAACTGCCAATTATTATGATTTGCCAAATACCTCCTATTATAAGACTGCATTTTCAGTTGCTTTAAAAGTTTGCAAAACTTAAACTGTTTGGCTGAAAACGTCCCTACCAGGTGTGTGCCTCAGAGATAATTTATTTTTCAAATAAATTATCAGCCAAATGGTTCAGACCTTTCCAAGAACAAGCCTATCGAAGCATCAGTTTTTCGGTCCACATTGCAAAATTGCAGCAACCTTTTCTTTGAGAAGCTCTTGCAGCCCCATATTTGGAGCAGAGATTGGGAAGGGAGATAGTTTTAGGGAAGTGCATTTTGCTACTTTATTCTAGTCAGGTTGTAAACTTTCCCAAACTTCAGTTCACACGCACTTGCTGAAGTTTAATAGGAAAGATTCCCAAGGCTTCCACCTTCACGAAACATGTTGCTTCCCCTCACAGCTCTGCAGGTTGACAAGACTGCACAGAAAACCATCACGTGCTCTAGACCAGAGCCATGTAATTCAGCCTTGTAAAGGCTGAACTAGGCTCAATCACAAGTGCTGAACTAGCTG